AAAATGAATTAAAAATTAGAAACAGTGTGTCTTATCTATTCCAAATGTGGATGTAGGTGTCTACTTTGCCTTTCTCTAACTATATCAGACAGCCAAGAAAATCACATTTGGTAACAGCCCTGGGGCCTTCTTCTGGCCTTTTGCTCTGGAGTGTAGGGGGTGGCTGTCTTCACTGTCCATGGCTCCCCTTGTCCCGTAGCATGTTTCCGTGTTGCCGAAGAGGCCTTGACGATGTGCAGCGTCATGACCATCCTGTGCAATCCTCCTGCAGCCTTCTGTGTTCGTGTCCCTTTTTGAACATTTGCACATTTCCTGGCTTACTTGGAACTGGTACCATGTGAGATCAAAGACAAATAGAGACTGTATTAATTCTAATAAATGTTAAAATAAAAGTTAAGCTCCATCTTCTGGTTCCTGTTGAAACTGGAAAGAATAGCTCATTCACAAAAAGAAAATGAATTAAAAATTAGAAACAGTGTGTCTTATCTATTCCAAATGTGGATGTAGGTGTCTACTTTGCCTTTCTCTAACTATATCAGACAGCCAAGAAAATCACATTTGGTAACAGCCCTGGGGCCTTCTTCTGGCCTTTTGCTCTGGAGTGTAGGGGGTGGCTGTCTTCACTGTCCATGGCTCCCCTTGTCCCGTAGCATGTTTCCATGTTGCCGAAGAGGCCTTGACGATGTGCAGCGTCATGACCATCCTGTGCAATCCTCCTGCAGCCTTCTGTGTTCGTGTCCATAGGTGTGATTCTTCCCTGAGTTCAATCTCTTGGCCATCTCGTGACCTCATCTCAGAGTTCAGGAGTCTTGTGGGGGCTCTAGGATGACTGTTCTCTCTATCTCAGAACATGGCCCTGAACTTCGAAATCCCCAACCAAGAAGCATATAGGAATAAAAGGAAAATTAAAACCTTACAAACTCAATTGCTACTGATGACAAGTGGTCTAATATTTCAGTTCTTTTTTTTTTGCATAGTACATTTTTTAATGGGTTATGAATATTCATGAGTTACAAAGCTGATTGTCACCACTCGTGCCCCAGATGTGACGGCCAGATCCATACTGCCAGCATGCCCATTACTACAAATTGTGATTATACCCCATGTCCCCCACCCAATTATCCCTGACCTCCCTCCCCATCCCCCTTTCCCCACTCCACTTTATATCCCTAGGTATGTTCTCTCCCTCAGCAAGTCCAATGCACCACTGTGGTCTTTCCTTCCTTCTATCTCTCTTTGCTCCCACTTATGAGTGAACGCATGTGATATTTATCCCTCCGTGCTTTGCTTATTTCACTCAACATAAGTTTCTCCAAGCTCATCCATGTTGTTACAAATGGCAGAATTTCATTCTTTTTTATGGCAGAGTAGTAGTCCATGGTGTATTTATGCTACATTTTCCTTATCTAATCTTCCATTAATGGACATTTAGTTTGGCTATTATAAACAGAGCTGCAATGAACATGGGAGTGCAGGTATCCCTTCAACATGATGATTTCCATTCCTTTGGGTATATATTCAGAAGTGGGATTGCTGGATCATATGGATGATCAATCTGTATTTGTTTGAGAAACCTCCATACTGTTTTCCATAGTGATTGCACTAATTTACAGTCCCACCAACAGTTTAGGAGCATTCCCTTCTCTCTACACCCTTGCCAGCATTTGTTATTCTCCATCTTTTTGATTATAGCCAGTCTAACTGGGGTGAGATGATATCTCAATATGGTTTTAATTTGCATTTCCCTGATGACGAGTGATGCTGAGCATTTTTTCATGTACCTGTTGGCTATTCGTATGTCTTCCTTTGGAAAATGTCTATTCAGCTCCTTTGCCCATTTTTTAATTAGGTTATTTGTTTTTTTTTACTGTGTAATTGCTTGAGTTCCTTGTGTATTATGGGTATTAATCCCTTATTGGATACATAGTTTGCAAAAATTTTCTCTCACTCTGTACTTTGTCATTTCACTCTGTTGATTGTTTCCTTTGCTGTGCAGAAGCTTTTTAGTTTGATATAGTCCCATTTGTTTATTTTTTCTTTTGTTGCCTGTGCTTTCAAGCTCATGTTCATAAAGTCTGTGCCCAGACCTAATTCCTAAGGTGTTTCGCATATATTTTCCCTTAGTAATTTTATAGTTTCAGGTCTTATACTTAAGTCTTTAATTCATTTTGAGTTGATTTTAGTATATGGTGAGAGATGCATGTCCAGTTTCATTCTCCTGCATGTGGATATCCAATTTTCCCAGCACCACTTATTGAAGAGGCAGTCTTTAATGTATTGTTTTCTTAGGTTTTTCAATCACAAAAATGTTCCTTTAAGAAAGTAGTCAGTAGGATTGTGATATAGTTCTGTCATATGAGGGATATAAATGATTCCAAGATATTTCAAAAGAACCAAGGGTTGTTAGGATTATCAATTACCAATAAAATTATACAACTCAATTTTCAAATCAGGCCTGAGGCAATTTCAAATATCTCAGTTTCCTTAACTGAGGAAAAAAAAAAAAAAGCAACTAATATGGTTGGCATGAAAATTAATGAGATAGTATATGCAAAGCACTTAGGACCATCCTGGCATGAAGGGAGCACTCAATAGATGGAAGCATTTGTGCGCACACGCACACACATACACACAGCCCTTTATTTCAGCACTCAGATCCTGTCTGTTTATACCTTCTGATCAGAAAGATCCTTTATCTGTATAGCCAGCCCTTACCTCTGACCTTATTACTCTTGTCTAACTTCTAGCTGTTACTGATGTTCCATCTGACTGTCCTTTAATAGCCATATATTTCTTTGGCTTATGAACAGTGACTTTTGAAGCTCACCATTATGGTAGTAATTTTAGGATTTATAGAATCATAAAACTTTAGACCTTTATTTGAAAGATGAGGAATATGAAGTCCAGAGAAAGTGGGCAACTTCCTCCCAATCACTATTTTCAAATCTAGATTTCTGGGCAGTCAAAATTGTCTTTTACACACACAACAGAGCCCTTTGGACCTGGGAGGGCAACACACTGGATTTAGATCAAAAAGGGATCATGGCTGAAAGTTAAGAGAGAACTTAATAGTGATAAGGTGATTACAAATTATGTGACCTTGTGCAAGGAAGCTTGTTTCTTCATTTCTAAAACAATATCCACCCTACCTACCTCCTAGAATCATGTGAGACCTAGATTCTTGACAATGTGGGTGAAAATGTTTATAAGTTGCAAAATTCTGAATAAATATTAATTTTGTCTTCTATAAACACACAAGAGTTGCATGTATATATTGGATCCATAGGTATATGTGTGTGCTTCTTAATAAATTAATTCATGTGTTAATAAAGCCATTTTAAACAAAACCCAATCTTTCACTTATCTCTGATCCGTAATGCCCAATTTATGATCATCTGTGGTAGGCTCCCTGTGGACTGTAAGGAGAGCTCAGTATCTTGGAGGTCAGGCTAAGAATGGGGAAGAATGCAAATGGAGATTTTGCTGCATTAGAATCCAAGTCAACAAGTTAGATGCTGGAAGTCCCTTGCCCATGGGGAATCAAGAGATGTTGCCTCTGAAGGGATGATTAGGTGGGGATATCAAGTCATTTTCTGCTTCATAGATGTTAAGATATTCTTTGAATCTCAATGGATAGTTTGTTGATTTACTGGGTTAACTACTGTCTGTATGACTTAGAAAAGTACATATAATTTTATATTTAATAGTTTCTTGTAATATAGGAATTTAAAAAGAGAGTGCAGGAATGGCAAATTCGTTTCAACTTGCAGGCCCTCTTCAGATGACTGGCAATGACAGCTTGCAGAACTGTTCAGAAAAAGACTTAGAGACCTAGTGTAGGTCAAGCTGGACAAGAGCCATGATCAACCTCGCAATGTCTGCTGTAGGCTCAGGTGGGAATAATACACCTGGGAGACCTGGAACAAGCCCTTAATCACTCTGGGCCTCAGTTTTCCTCATTTGCAAAAAAAAAAAAAAAAAAAAAAGCAACAAAAAAACGAGCATGACTAGACTTCCCTCCATGGTCCTTTCTGGTTTTTACATCTTCTGTTTCTGAGAAAAGGCAATGTACACAGTTTTATTTAGGTCAACTCAAGTTTACCTTCACTAAGGAAGATGACTGTCCCTAATGACTACAAAGGTGTAATTCTACTCTCCCTACCTTCTAGGATCTTCTAAGATCTAGAGTCTAGAGAACATGTGTGCAAATACTTTGTAAACTGCAGAAGTTGCATAAATATTAAGCCACAAGTAATGGCTTTAGTTCCTCCAATTTTCTAAGTAGTAAACTCTTTAGAAACTCAAGAATATGAAAGAAATTCTTTTCCTTTTAAAGAGCATTCTCAGAACATTCTTTTGGCTATAGCAAAGGAAAACAAAATTAATAATGATCTTTTTAGAAGATGGAAGCTGAATGTGTTTGACTTGGAACCTTTTATCATCCTTCTATGACTCTCAGAATGAGAGATAGAATTGCTAAATTTTCTTTCTTCACTAAGAAAAAGGAATTAACATACTTGTTTCTTTTTGTTTGATATAAAAATTTATAAAATCTTTTTCTTTCCAGCCCCCTAAGTCAGGCTTAACATTGGTTCAGAAAATTTTTTGGCCTAATTTTAGCTAAGTCATTTTTTTTCCAGTTTAAAAGAAAAGCAAAAAAAGGTCATTACACATGTTGTGATTGTGTATTCAAATCATGTGGACTCCAGCCAAGTCAAGGGCAAGATCTCCTGAAGCCATCCCGAGGGAGGTTTGGAAAGGCTTCCCCAACTGCAGCCTTCTCTCCATTGTATTCCTGCTTTGGAATTTATGATTCTATTTTCTTGCATATTGTCATTTGATTTAAAGAGCTGGGAGATTGTGGATGGCTAGTAGTATCTTAATTAACTAGTAAGAATCTTAATTAAGGTGAGGGGGAGGGGATTAGTGAACTTAGCTCATGCTTGCCACTGGTTTTTGAGGAAAAGACCCATTTATGATCACTCTGTCTCTGTTTTCAGATCAGACTCCAACCCCAACGCGATTCCTGAAAAACTGTGAGGAAGTGGGTCTCTTCAATGAGCTGGACTGCTCCCTGGAGCACGAGTTCAGGAAGGCTCAGGAAGAGGAGAGCAGCAAGCGGGTAGGTTTGCTAGCATGGATGCTTGGAGAGGTGCCTCTCTAACACTTGCCAGAAACCTCCATGTAGAAACTAGGTGGCACTGCAGATTGTGTCGATGTGGCCTTGACATGGTATTTTACTCATTTGCGAGTGTTTATCTAATGTTAAAACAAAACAAAACAAACCCGGATGAATGCCTGTTCGTGGTAGAATCCAAAGCTAGATAAATCATGGGAAAAGTAGGGATCTGAAATATGAAATTCAAGCAAAAAAAAAAAAAAAACCCCCAAACACTAAGTTACCTCATTCTTGAACCGGAGTCAAATAAACGCAGCCTTTTTCTATTCTCAACCAGTTGTTCGACTTTGCTAAGAATTTAATAGCAAGCCTTACGTGGGCGGTGAGTGCAGAAGACAAGAGCCAAAGGATGAGGGAACGGGAATAATCATAGCAGTAGGAGAGGGAATTTCATCTGATTTTGGCCCAGGTTGTTACTGTCTGTTTTCCATAATCTTCCTGGTCTTTCTCCACCAGATTCATAATTATTTCTTGGTCATCTACCTGGTCATATTGTTGAACATCTGTTGTTGCTGAGACAAATAGGTTAACTACAAATGCGGATCATTTTTTCTTGAAAGTATAGAAAATTCACTTTATGAAATCCTTCAGAATATCTTCAGTTTTTATCTTAATGTGCTGGAACTTTAAAATCACGTTACAAGATTAAGGAAAGGAGATGAGGTCACAAGTAAATGTGATAAGAATGCTTTTTAGTATTTTTTCATTGTTATTATGGAGCATTATCAAATGCCCACAATATACTAAACAACAAATTAGACACAGTCCGTAAAGAGAGACTTCAAATGTGAAAGGTGATTGACAGGAAGGACCAGCGAGGTAGTAATGAATTCTGAAGTTTCGGCTGTTCCATCCAAAGAATAAATTTTAAAAGTCTCTGCTGTTTCTCTAAGTGTTTCAAAGCCTTTGAATCTTCCTCTATGTGAAATTATAATAATCCCCCTGGAGCAGGTTTTTCATGTCACATTCTCACATCATAATAGTCAAGGGCTTGTATTAAGTCTGTACTGTTGTAGGAAAAATCCCGAAAACAGGTGACACTTCCAAGAAGAGTATAAAATCTCAATCAACTCATTTTATTTATTTACAATTAATTTGACATTTATACTTGATGCCCTCCCTTTCAAATTATATAAAGTGCCTTTTTTCCTTTTTTAAGCAAATACTATTGTAGTGGATTGAATAATGTCCCCCCAAAACTCATTGAAGCTTGAATTGTGTTCCCAAGTTTTATGTATTGGAAACTTAGCCCCCACTGTGACTATTAAGAGGGTGGGAAATCCTATTATGGTAATTGAAAGGTGGGGCCTTGAAGAGGTGATTGGGTGGGTTGTAGGACCGTGCACTAGTGAATGGATTAAAAATGGTGGCCAGGGGTGTGGTTCTGAGGGCTTTAAAAGAAGAGGAGAGTCTGCCTCTCTCTTGTTCTCTCTACTTCCACCGTCTTGCAATGTGAGACCCCTGGGTCACTGTTGCCACCACCAGATGGAATTTGGACTTCCCAGTCTCAGAAACTGTAAGCAATAAATGTCATTTTTCTTTATAAATCACCGAGTTTAGTGTATTTTGTTATAAGCAACAAAAATGGACTAATACAACTATATAGCAATTATTATGTGCCAGGCAAATAATCAGGTTCTGAGCACTTTAAAAAATTAATTTAAGGGCCGGCCCGGTGGCGCACTGGATAGTGCGCCGCTTGGGAAGCGCGGCGGCG